TTTCATTATAACCTGCTTATGCGGCCATCCTGATAAGTCCCACGTCACCTATTTTTACTTTATAAAACTGTTTTTCTACTTTGGTTTGTATCTCTCCCCTACCATTTTTTTTCATGTAGTATAATATATCATCTCTATATATTCAGCTGATTGGCTTTTATTATGCCTTCTGTTCCGAAGGCTCTCGAATCTGTACAAATTGACTTAATAGTCTTTGAGATAAAGCAACCGTTTCATCTTCTCTTATCGTAAACAAATCCGTTACGCCACATTTTAACGCGAACAGTATTTGTTTTCCACTCCCCCGCCCTTTCGCTACACAAAGTAGCGGCAAAAATCCCAGGAAAAGGGAACAATCTCAATAACCACTAGTTCATCACAATGAATACCTTAGAAGGTACAAGTCAAAGAACAACCGCAGGATACAGGCATATCAGAAGCCTACTTAGTCAACTGGCGTATTCTTCTACAGGCTGGAAACGTCATCAGCACACTTCCATTATGCTCTCCAGCCTCAGAACCAAAAACTAACCCACAAAACACCACAATCGGCCCTGAAGGATGGTGAAACTTACAGGAGAGGCTGACGCCGCCGTGAGAACATTTCAGATGATGCAGTTCCTGGTATAAACGGCGATTCTCGTTGAGAAGCTCCTGGGCCTGGATTACAAATCTCTTCCTAAAAAACAAAAATGAAATTAGGAAAATGTTACATCTTTGTGAAAGACTGGCAAATGAGGTGCATACTTCACTTAATTTTCATTAACATTCATACATTTGGCGAAATGCAGCTATAATTTGGACTAAAGCGTTAACTTAAGGATACAGGAATCTAAGTGCCCAGTGAGACAAAAATATTAGTAACTAACGGAAGCATATCTATAGTAGAGAAAATGGACAGTTTGTGAATTAGCTGAATTCATTTTTGTCAGCGAACACAGGCTTTTTCATCAACACAATCGAGAATATGCCTGCAAAAATATTTAAAATTTGTACGCATCTGTGTCAGATGTCTTCGGCTATTATTTAAGACTAATTGAGCGATGATGCTACAAGAAGCTACAAGACATTTCAGGAGATTGTAAACTTTATAATTTTTCTCCGTTGCCGTCAGTTCTTAAAGGCCCAATTTTTTGAGGACGTTGCGATAGGACGCTCGAAAACATTAACTTGTTGCCGACTGAAGGTCAGATTACACTACATTAAATTCATTTTTACAACCGAACGGTTTCTCACCAAATCTCGATGGCTGGTATTCAGGTAGTTAGCTTTCAGGAATGGTTTGAATTTATCTGTTTCACCCCGTCTGATTGCTTTTAATTAGCGAAAGCACTCTTAAAACCGGGACAAAATTTGCCCTACCGATACGCTCAAAATTGTCTGCCATAATTTGGTAATCTTAAATGTTAAAAAATGTGTTTTTCGGTCTTGCGAGCCGCTAATAGAATATCATTAATGTTGAGAGTTACGGCAATCGTAAATAAAGATACAAATCAGACATAATTTGTTTTCGAGACTGACAATCTCAACTGTATTAAACTACCCTGCGTATTCGTGGTTTTAGTATAATTTTGACATATGCTTTTATGCAAAAATGCAACTCTAGGTCGACTTGTAAATTATGTTTGCCACGGTACTAATGCAATAACGAATATTTTTGGACATTTTTTTTTATAAATATATTGGAATTTACAAGGGTATGGACAATAAGTGAAAATATATACTGTTTCAGTAGTCATATTTGCCGAGTGCTGTTTCCGCAGGATGTCAGAACGATGCAAATTTGAAAGTGACTTACAGTAGATTACATATCTGATGCAAGGTTGGGGATAAGAGGATTTAACGC